TAAAATAAATTGTATTGAAAATAGTGGCGTGTTAGTATCGATCTACTTGATTTGAAAGATATTAGAATTATCATAATGCAACATAATTTTGTGAATTAGTAAAACAAATTGAATTGAAAATTATGGTTTAAGTATCGACGGTTTGTTTTGAGTTTACTATCAGTAAAATCGTATCTTCAGGTAGAAATAGTTATTTGCGCGTGTTGTAAAGAAAACTTTCCAAAATCTCTCACGAATTCCGATCTTGGGAAAAGGCAGCTTTCCACGGAAGCAACGTGGAGTAATTAACACAATTAAGGCGGACGTCGTAAATCGTAATGCGCGCATCCTCTTAAAAAGAATCGAGATAGATATCGGATCAGGGATCTTCACGAGATCCATCGTGTGCCCATACATACATTGCAAGAGGAGGAGCAGGAGGAGGAGAAGGAGGATTCATTTCGTTTCTATCTTTCCTCTCATTGCATTGTCTTAAGCTTTATGATGAACTATTATTTTCTTCTGACAATGCTTTACATGCTAATAATAACGGTTTGTTCATTATTATCAACGTTTCTTCTCATTAAACTCGATATACATATAAATTAATAAAAGTAGAAAGAAATAGATAATGCATTTGAATAAACAAATTTGTTCAGGTAAAAAATAAATTATAATATCGTCGCAAAAGTTTCTTACTTATTTTATATATCATTTTAAAATAAATAATGGATTGTGTGATATATAAAATAAAAAAATAATCGCGTAAAATAATTAAAAAAAAGGTACAAACTTTAAAAGAAGACGAAAAGAAAAAGTTAAATTTCTAATACACTTATTTAGAAATTTAGCAAATAGAATAAGTCATCGACCTATGTAAATGAAAATAATATTTCGTGTATGGAATCATGTTAGGATGTTCGGAAAGGTGCGACGATCTAACGAACTCGATGGATCGTTGCACGCCCAGTCGTCTATAAAAGCCTTATAATTCTCCTTCTTTCTCAGACACATAGCAACACATACACACTGACATAGATAGAAACACACACATATATATATATATATATATAGCACAAACATGGATATAAGGTATATCGTCCGGCAGCTCTTTCGAAACGTCTGCTCTTGGAGATCGTAGTAGCAAGGATCATTAAGGCGGAGAAGCTCGATCGAATCGAAAGGAGGGCCTGGTTGGTTGTTGAGTAGAGAGCACCTGGCCTCTGATCAACGCAAATCCCACACGCGATTCGGCGCGAGAAACGCCGCTTACAAGATCGTAACCGACGAATCTAATCACGATTCTCGATCGAACGAACGAACGAACCAACGAACGAACGAACGATGATACACTTCTTAGATCTACCGATCCGCAGTTTGTTTTCAAGGTACGAATCGTCCACGTAATTACAATTTCCATTCGCTTGCTTTTACTTGCTTACTTCGTTCAACGATAACTCTAATGTTACGTGTATTTCAACGTCGACAATATTATTTCTTTCAATGATACACGCATTTTAATGATCACTGTAATTGCTACATGTGTAACATTCGGAGTAGGTATAGTTTATATATCATTTGATATTCATCTTTGGTTAACACGCGCACCTGTTTCCAAATAATTATTTTTTTTACATACTTTTATGAATATTTTTATCCTTTTATTTTGTTCTTAAAAGAAATTCAAAATATAGTGTCATATAGCGAAACGTTGTTTCTAATAATTACAACACCCAAGCTTCTCTCGAATCTCTCGAATTTCTTCAGGCAGAACCGTTGACAGCAATACGAACGGAAACGTAATTTATGGTGAAAATACACTGGGAGTTCTCTATCCAAGATAGTTATTAGAGTCGGTAGAGAGAGAGAAAGCGTGTTTTCGTTCCGCGTTGCAGATACCCGATCGGTTCTATTTATAATACAATTCTCTTTTCGATTTCAAATTGCTCAGATTAGAAAACGCACCGCGAGTGTTGTTGCGTTGCGACAACTACTTTGCTAACGATTTTCATTTTTTTTTTAACAATCTTGCGATATAAATTATTTCCATATCAAACGAGATTTTGATACGAATTAACGTATAAATAAATAAAAGAATAGATTTATTTTAATTGATAATAATAGTACAGAAAATATTGACAGAGATGTTAATTTTTCTTTCAAAGAAAAAAAAACAAAGATAAAAAATGGAACGAGTTTAGATATTAAAACAAACAAAAAAGAAACAAATGAATAGAAAAGATTAGTGGATATCGTATACCGTAGAAAAAAAAATAAAAAGAATCGATATACTTTGAAGTCTTTTAAGTTGTACCTGTCGTCTTACCTGTCGATATTGCAAATAAAAAAATAGTTACTCGTGATAGTGGATAAAAATGAAACGAAAAAAATGAAAAGATAAATGAAAAGAAAAAAAGAAAAAAAAGAAAAAAAAAAGAAAAAAAAAACAGAAAAAAAGGGTTAACGTTTGGTTCTTTCCGAGGCTTTTCTGGTTTCGTCGGTTTATACGCAAACAAGTGCGTATTATGCGGATCTAAGCGTTCGAGAGTGCGTTCTTGTTTTCGGTGTAACTCGAAGCTAAGCGGTTTAAGAGATCAACGCCGGTATAAACCGGCCGTCTGAGAATCGTTTGGAGATATCTTGTGCGTGAGAGGCGTCGGAGAAGAAGAACAAGAAGAAGAAGAATAACAGCAGAAGGGGGTGGGGTGGAGAAGAAAAGGAGGAGAAGAGCGAATGAGCGAGTGAGTGCAAAAGAGTGTATGCTGTATGTTCATATGTACGAGTGTACGTGCGTGCGTTTGTCCTGTGTTCATGTGTGTGTTGTGTGTGTACGTGTGTGTGTGTAGGGTAAAGAGAAAGAGATAGGGAGGATGAGGAAGACTCTGGGCAAAGTGAGAGGGCTGGCAGAAAGACGGGATGAAAAATTAGATTTACAAATCTGTCTTGACTACTATGAGATTGCTCGCTTACCAAACAGCGACTCTCAACTCTTATCAATATCTTTTTTATTATTTATATATATATATAATCATTATAATATTCATTCTTTATTTCTATGAATATATTAATTATTTTGTAGTAAAATAAAATAAGATATATTTGATCATTATTTAAAATGATTGGTGTATTAGTTGTCATAGATATAGTACAAACTCATATATTTCTAATCGTCAATATTTATTTGGCATATTTCTTTTTAATTATTAATTTTTTTCTGTGATCAAGAAAATGATATTGATTGGATTATTTTTACAACGTTTTATTAAATATCATAGATATAGTTTCATTTAAACATATTTGTATTGTATCAAAATAGATTTTGTATTTTGTATTAATTAGAGAAAAAGATTGCGAAAGATATTGAAAAGGAATATAATGGGAGGGGCAAAAAAATGGGAAGTTGAGAACCAGTCGATGCATCGTCCCATCATAGGTGCTATATCGAGAGCAAAGAAAGGTTCACGAGAAGAGTGGATAGGGTAAGCAGCAACGAGTTAAGGATATTTTCTCGCTAAAGCAAGAGATCGCGTTTTGTTTTGTGTACGTTAGACGGAGACTTTGTTGGGACGTATGTATGTAGATATATCTTTTGAACGCGTGTGGTGTGTCTGACTTTCTGGCGCCTGCCGCCTATGAAAAATGAACGTCCCTGCTAACCGCACGGGGCATCCAGCCACCACCACCATCACCATCACCATCGCTATCACCATCGCCATCACGAACGTATAGATTGTTTCAAGAAAAGAGATTTTTTTATATTTTCTTCCTTTCTATTCTCAACCTCTCGATGAATCTTTCGACTGGCTTTTATATCTTGCGGTGACTGAACAATATATATATATATATTTTTTTTTGTTGAACTTTTTTTTATGGCGAAAATTGAATTTGAGGAACAAGTAAAGAAAACTTGCATATTGTTTCTTATTAAATTAATTAATTTTTACGTTGCATTATTTTGATATTGTTACGTGTTCAACAAACTATTATTTTTTTTATATTAATAAACAACGTAAGATATTTAAAATACTCAATACAAATTATTAATCATATTACAGACATTTATATATTTTGTAATTTACGCTCGAATTAGTTCCCGAAAATCAATTGGAATAGAGAAAGATAAATTTTGTATAGGATAGTTAATTCTTTCGTAGTTCATCCTAATGACTTTTCATTTTCCCTTAGTCACGTAAAAGCTTGCGCTCTCGAAACGTTCACACGATATCATCTACTTGTAGATTAGCGGCTAACTTTTTCGAATCTTTTTCGGTTGGAAACACCGATGTGTGGAAACCCGGGTGTGTTTCTTTGATGGATCTGCGCAACAGCCCATTCGAAGAGAATTTTTCTGTTTCTACTCTCTTCCCACACCCCCAACCCCTCTTCCTTTTCTTTTCTTTTTCTATTTTCTTTGCTCTCTTCCTGCTTTATTTCTATCGTTTCCATTCTTTAAATTCGAAGTAATCTCCGAACGGAGGGGTCGGTCAACAATTTTCATGTTCAGAAAAAAATAAAAACAGTCCAGTGAACTCAGCCGGAAAATCATCGCTAAAATCTCACTTTTCTACATGAAATATCACAATTTATCGATTATTATATTATTTTCATTGTGTATTCTTTCGAATAAAACTAAATATAAGATTTTCTTGGCTGAATTCACGACTTATTATTAGATATTCATAATCTGTGTATAAACAAATCGGAGAGATATTGAATAAAAATATTTAACAAATTATAATATCGTACAATGTTTAAATACACGATTCGTAAAAAAAACGAAAGAAGCAAAACACTCATTGAATAATATACATATATCACACATATTGGTTTTCCTTTTTTTATGAAATATATAATAAACAATTCATGCGTCGTAAAGTTACTCGGTGTCTCTGTGTTGTTTATATACACACGTTTGAATAGAAGACGATCGTATACGAGTCGTTCGAATGCGACAGTCGGGGTAAGAATGTTACCTCGAAAACAGGTGTCTCTAACCACAGTAACTCTCTACCACTGTACAGCTCCAGGCCAGGAAGACCCCCAAAGAGAGCTTCCGTTGGTTTGAGCCTCGCAGCGAGTCACCTAGCAGCGGCTGCTGGTCATCATCCACAGCATTCCTTGAAGAAACACAGGATGGACAACGGCGATTACTATGAAAACGGACATCTAGGTAAGCTCCTATTTAAGCATCTATCTATATATTTAACTCCTTCCTTTGAGGAAGACTTTAATAGGCCTATTTAAAGCCTTACGTCTTATTATTTTTTTTTTTTTATTCCTTTTAAGACACGACTTCTTTTTGTTCATGTTATAGAGATCTTGAGGAGTATTTTCAGACTCTTCGTTATTTATATAACATATGTATATACTTATACTTTTTTTGAGAATGTAGGTGTTATCGCGAGATATTCATTTGTCAAATCGATTAATCCCAATTTTAGAATTATTATACATTTTATATATTGTGTGTGTGTGTCAAGATATTTAAAAATGTTAATATTTGAAATAATTTTTCTTAATGATTAGGCTTAACCATGTCATTTCTATGTTAAGTTCAAAAACAAAGGACACATTAATGTAACAAGTTAATGCAATCGTGTTTCAATGTTTCCAATATTATAATTATATTCATATGTTAATATGCTAATTGATGATTCTCATTAGATAATTCGAGTATAGATCATATTTGAGGAAGTTACTTAGGATTGGTGGTTCTGATCGTAAACGGACAAGTAAAGTGCGCTTTGCGTACGCGTAAACGCAAGTAACTCTGGGTTGCAAGGGGTACACACTTGATTACTGCCATCCGTGTACACGGCGGTCCAACGGTGACCCCTAGCGATCAATTAATTAGGGGAATCAAACACACTTGGAGTGAGCAAATTAACTGCAACTGCAGCCTCGTGTTGCGGCCTGCGGTGACGGCGGACGCGCTCGCCGATATATCGGAATACCGCTACTGATATTATACCTACTCTACACAGCTGTGTACCTACCTAATATCTTTTCTAAGTGCGATTCTCCAACATTTTTCTTTTTAATTTGGATAATTAGTAACATAAGTATAATTAAGAAATTCATAAGTTCCAATATTGCTGGCTATTGGGACATTAATTATATTGAACAAATAATATTTATAATATACAATTTTAAATAGAAAATAAAACCTTCTTTTTCAAAGATCATTTAGATCATATAAAAGGGTTAATAATATTTTCCGTATATCCGAGTATAAACCGCGGATGAAAATAATATAAATCATAGATTCGATCGCATTATACAATATTCGATATAAATTAGATAGATTCGTTTGGGTGTTAATCCAGTTTCACGTATGCGATGTTAAATTGAGAGAAATTGAGAAATTAATCGGAAGTTACGTTTCGGTTTATGTATCCTTGGTATGAAGAGAGGAAGAGCCAGGACGACATCTATTCTAACATTACGGAGAGAATCGTTAAACTTGGTTGGCAAGCAGCATACACCTAAACCTATCTACATACACCTACAACAGCACCCCTCCCCCACATACGTATACACATACAGACATACATTTAGCTGGGTGGGTACGTACGTACGTAGCTACATGCCGATAGGCGAACGCAGTTCGGAAATTGTTTAAGCAAATAATCGTGAACATGCCCGTCGACCAATTTTACGAGCAAATACGTTTCACGGGGCAACGTTAATGAATTAATGCTGCGGCGTTCGCGGTCCGTGCCTCCAGCCAACCAAGCTCGTCGGGGTAAACGTTGAAACGGCCGACAATTAATTACGGCCGTGCGGTAATTGTATAATTGTTTTACGATTGGAACCACCCATCGTACCTTCATACCTAACGATCATTTCATTCGTCGAACTAACCGATCTTTCCTTCCTTTCGTACAATCACATTCGATTACTTAAACTTAACTAATCTGTCAGAGAAATTCATCTAACATCATTTAAATTACAATACTTACAATCTTAATGTTTACATTTATACGAATTTTTGTAGAATTTTTATCACTAGAAAATATCGACTATTTTGTAGAGTAAACCCTCTAAGGTTTGAACTCTGAAGATCAAATAATGAGAATTATCTTAAGAAATATCTTCGATTCGATGGAAGTGACGATCGTAGAGAGAGAGAGAGAGATAGAGAGAGTTCGTGAAATTTTAGTTGTCGAAAATGTTCTGTGACGAGATTTGAAGGTGTAAAGTCGACCCAGAAAAGCGATGGGTCATCGTGATAGGTACGTGGGTTACAACAGTGAAATAGAGATAGATAGATAGATAGATAGATAGATAGGTACAAAGAGAGTGAGTGAGAGAGAGAGAGAGAGAGAGAGAGAGAGAGAGAGAGAAAGAGAGAGAGGGGACGAGTGGATCGTGTACGGTATCGGGGATTGCAATTTTTTTCAATTTCGCTTGCCGTGCGAGCAGCACTTCCCATAACGCAATTAATAAACTCAACAAGCGAGATCCGATCCCGATATACCAGGAGCGTAACATCCATTCGGTGAACGGCCCGCACAATGGCCGTCACAAATGCTCGTCTATTATATATACTATATACATATATCGTTCTGTCGATGTTGCTCGACGATACGCATCTATGTTGTCTCGACGAAATTAAAAGCGATGAGAAAAATAAATAGCTCCTGGCCAGGACCAACGTTCGGTATTACGAGGGTGGCAAGAGTGAGTGAGAGAGAGAGAGAGAGAGAGAGAGAGAGAGAGAGAGAGAGAGAGAGAGACAGATAAATAGAAAGAAAGAACGAAAGAAAGAGAGAGAAAGAGAACGATAAGAAGGGATATGTTTGGCCAAAGCCGCGTGTCCATGAGAACCTTTTCAACCCCTAGAAAATATTACAAACAACCCTCTCAAATTTTACTTTCGAGTAATATTCAGTAATATCTTTTATCTTTCTTTCTTTCTTCTTATTACAATAATTATTTCCTCATAAATATTGACATACACTTTTAATATCATTATTATTTTATTTTTTCTTATTTAATATTAATATTATTATTATAAATATATTTTTTATTTTCACTCCCCCCTCTTCTCTCTCTCTCTTTGCGTATGGAATTATCGATGGTGCTCGAACAAACGAGGAAGGAACGGAAGCCGATAGGACTCTTCGAGTCCGATATATCGGCTCCGGTATACGTGCCGGGAAGTTCCGGTTAATTATTTAGCGCCCGCCGGTTACTGAAATATCATTAATCAAATTGGCCTCCTCGCGTAATTCGCATTACACCGGGGTAATGCATACCGAGTTACATATTAAAGCGTAAACTAAGCAAATTATCCGGCCATCTGCGCGTGTTCGTTGCGTCGAGTAAAAAGGGGTGGTGGTGGTGGCGTTATAGGGGGAGATAAACGGGAGGGGGGTCTAGAGGTTGATATAAAAAAAAAAAAAGGTAGCTAATATATAAGTTGGCGATGGTCGGTGTAAAGTTTATAAATATTATTAAATAACCTGAAACGCGATTGTGAAAACGCGAGACCATAGGATGCAATTTCTTTAGTCGAATGACGATTTTCAAAGAAGAAAATAGCCTGCCGTAATACCAAGGCTTTACGTTTAACAGTTGCGTTACTTATTGTTGATGGTAAGGTTAAAGAAAGGAAGAGAGAGAAAGATATAGAAAAAAGAGTAGTCGAAGTAGAACGATCATCGTCTTGTAAAGAGAGTAACGCGTAAGAAAACGATAATGAGCTCGACGATAAGTACGCGTGAGAGCAGGTGAATCGTCAAAAAGAACAAGAAGAGAAGAAGAAGAAGAAGAAGAAGAAGAAGAAGACGGATAACGTGACTGGAAGATGTATCTTTATCGTCCTCGTTAACGTTGCTGAGCATTGAATTTTATGCAATTTCGAAAGATAGTCGTTGACTATTACTTTACTTTCTTTATTATCTTTTTTTAACACCGTTCACCGTCGATTATTCGTAAACGGGTAGATAATCAATTAATATACAGGAAGTGTGTGCGTTGTTAAGTACCACCCTTTTGTAGTTTACTTTGTTTTTTTTTTTTAAACTTATATCTCTCTGATCAGAAGAAAAAAAAAAGGGAGTTTAATTATCATATATAAAATTGTGTTAAATAATATGATTGGAGTTAATTTAGATTTGACTTATATGATATTTATCTTTGTGCGTAAACTTGAAATATTATATTGGAGATAAATTGAAGAATTGTTATGTCATATGAAAAAAGTGAAATTTAATTATCATATACAAAGTTTGTATTAAATAATGGTTGATAATCATTTTTATTTTGATCTCCTGTGTATTTTATTTTTATTTCCAAATTGTACTATATCTTATCAAGGAAAAAATTGAAATCCTATTATAAAATTATATAAAAATAGCGTGAAATAATGGTTGATATTAATTTTAATCAGATGTATATATTATTTAATGCATTTGTAGGTAAAATATGTTGGAGGTAGATTTAAGGGTTTTTAATTTTCACCTAAACTCTGTTAGAGAAAGAGATATATATATTCGTAGTTACACGCGTATACGTTTAAATATAGAAGATATAGATGTGTGTGTGTGTGTTAGTTGTTCGCACCGATTGTAACTAACACACATGAAATATACGACTACCGTCAGCGAATGCTCATAAAAGCATTGATTAACCGTTGGCGGTCGTAGGTCGGGCAACGTGCACGGCTCGTGTACCAATAAAACCCGGCTAATAGTCGGCCGACATCGCTTCAATATCATTTGTCGGTCCGACCTGAAAGCTCTTTACGCGCCACGAGAGTTTTCACGAGACACGATCACGCGTGCTTTTGCTGTTACTGCTACTGCTACTGCTGCTTCAATGTTGCTGCTGCTGTTGCTGTTGCTGTTACTGTCGATAGGATACGACGAACGTACAAAAATTTTACCCGCCTCTTTCTCGTATACGAACAGACACACGCGTACACATATACACGCATACGTATTACCTGTTTTTCCTCGCTATTTCGTACCATTAAATATGTTATATCGTTTAAACGAATACACATACATATACACACACGCATATATATAGGTTGATGATTCTTGTAAATTATTTGGGGCCATTTTTTACTCTACTTTTTGTTGACCATGAGTAAATAGATCCAATTTTTAAAAATGAAGATTAATTATTATCAAATTCGCGATAGAGATGTTTGTATAAATT